CGCAAATAGAAAACAGTCACTCGCCCTCTCTCTGTGTTTACGCTCAAATTACTCGACTCGGGCCCAGTAATTTATGTGTTGATTATCGAAGCCATTTGGCGTTTTTAGTGCAGTTTTAGTTTCCAGCTTGTGGCAGCTTTCGTCCTGCGGAAAAAACAAAACACAACACAACACAACCCAACACACACTTCTAACATCAAATTGCATTTATCGCACTTAACACGCAAAGCAAATAATGTTCCTAACTAAACGCATACGTTGGTCTCTATATATAGGTATATATGTTATATCTGGAGAGTATGTGTAGAGCATAGTGTGTTTATATATACGTGTTTATTTGGTGACAGCCGTTGTGATTGCACGTGACAGGCGACCAGATAGTCGGAAGAGCAGTTCCAGGATAACGGCTAAATAAATGCATTTGTCAGCGAAATTAGCCAAGTAAATCAGAGGGAAATTTTCAAATTTCAACTAATGGTAAAGAGAGTTAAATGAAAGTGGTTTTTAGCTGTGTGTTTTTACTAATATTTCTATATTTTATTTTAGCACTTTCATCATCATCACTTAATCATAGCAAAATTCTAGCAACAGCAACATTCCCACCCTTACCATCTGCTTTCTCTTAAATACTCGTAACAATCATTGTAAAATCTAATATTAGCATTTATGTAAATTGATCGCTGCCTAGGAATACCCAAAACATCTAAAATATTTACTATTTAAAAGTTTGTAATCCAATTTTCGTTGATAAAAACAGAATTCTCTTACTGGCTGGCACTGCATTTAAATGCGGAATTAGAAATTAAATGTTTTTAGAAATGCATGTAAATTGCATTGCATTCTCGTAGAGAGCAGTGAGTTTTGTCAGGTTTTGCATTACAAATCAATTATTGCCGGCGTGTCAGGATGGTGTTTCCAGCTGTCCATTCCTCTGACACTAGGACTTGCCCCTGCTCTTCCCTTACCACCCCCTTTCCTGTGCCAACTCTCTCTGTCAGTCACTCAGTTTCATGCAAATCACGTACGTTTGCATTTTGTCAAAATGCGTTTTGCACCTACAAAGGCAGCCCAAGCAGCAACAACAACAACAACAACTGCAGCCACACCAAAAACAAATGCATTTATGCATATGTATGTGTGTATAGGTGATCCTAGTACTGGCTTTGTGTGGGTGTGCGAGTGCAAATAATGACAGACAGCATAAACAAACACGCACATCAGACTTTGGACTGGCGTCTATGGCCACAGGGGCAACCTCAGATGCGGAGCAGTGAAAGCCAGGATGCAGGACACGCCCACAAACCGCCCTTATACACCCCCCTACATATACACACACCCTCCCAGTTGCAGATGTAGAGGGGGAGAGGAGCTGGCTTTAAACTTGGCACGTCACTTGTTTCCGCATTTTGCACGTAACAGACGAATAACCATAAGAAATACGACCAGGCACTTAAAAAAATTAAATATTTTTGTTACATTTTGGATGATTTATAAAAAATTGATTTTAACTTTTGGAGGAAAAATGAGAGCTAACCATATTTAGCATTGTTTTCATAAGGGCTAACAACATCATTTTTTGCAAAGAATTGTCAAAATTTTACTAATTTAGATTTGAATGCAGCTTTGTCAGAAATTCAATAACGAGCTCAACGAGGTATAACTTTCCATATTCAAACCATTATTGGCTACGTAATGGACATAATTCTGTCATTTTGAGGGGAAAAACTGAGATAACAAATTTTTGCATTTTCAATAAGTGGTAACATCATTGAAATTTAAAAAAAAAAAATGGTCAAAAATGTACTCTTTCAAATTTGAATGCAATTTTGCTGGAAATTAATTTACGAGTTCATAGAGGTATAACTTTCTATATTGGGACCATTATTGGCTAAGTTATGGACATAATACGGCCATGTTGAGGGGAAAATCTGGGATAATCTAACTCTAACATTTTCAATAAGGGGAAACATCATCAAAATTGTAAAAATTTAACATTTTAAACTGTGAATGCAGTTCGGCTAGGAATTAGAAAACAAAATCAACGGACAATTATTGGTTAAGTTATGGACAGAATTCAGTCATTTTGGGGGAAAATCTGAGGTAACCCATTTTCGGGTTTTCAATAAGGGGTAACATCATCTTTTTTTTTTATCAAAATTGGCAAAAATTTTAATTTTAAATTGTGAACACAGCTCGATCAGCAATTTGAAAACAAGCTTATCAACGTATGGCATTCGGTATTCGGAACATTATTGGCCAAGTTATGGACATAATACTGTCTCTTTGAGGAGGAAATTTGAGATAACGAATTTTTGCATTTTTGATAGGGGTAACATTATCTTTTTTTGGGAAATGGCAAAAATGTGGCCTTCTAAACTATGAATACAGTTCGTTTAGGAATTTGAAGACGAGCTCAACGAGATATGGGATTCCGTATTCGGACCAATATTGGCTGAGTTATGGACAAATTTCTGTCATTTTAAGGAGAAAATTTGAGATAACAAATTTTCGGATTTTCTATAAGGGGTAAGATAATCTAATTTTGCTAAAAATGTCCCAATATAGGCTTTTTTGGGGTGCAGTTTTACTGGGAATTGAATTAATACGAGTTATGACATTTTATAACAACAAAAATTTTTGAAAAAAAAAAAATGGTCCATACATTTTCAAGTTTGAAAGGACGTTTCATAGTAGTCATAGTTCATGCAATTTAAATAGAAATAAAAAATAATAGAAATGCCATTCCAAATTTAAACCAAATTTGACAATTTTCTCGAGAAATATTCACACATTTCTTAGCAAAATGTGAATTTTCCACTAAGCACTCCTTTCTCTCAGTGTAACTACTCGGCAGCACATGCACACTCGCCCACTTTAGCCATACGCATGCAACAATCATGTAGTTGGGCCATCTGAATTCATTAAAATTTATCAAACGGACACACACACACGCACACACACCCTCATGTCGTCTACAATTACTCGGACTCGGACTTGGGCTATTCAATATAGACGGCAGGACCTTTTTGGCCCTGATTGATGGTAACCCACTTAGCCAACTAATGAACTTTGCCACAGTCCTGGGCCGTAAATTAAATTTCAAGTGCCCGACCAGGGTAAATATTTAATAATCAACTGGCATTTGGAAAATGTAAATAACATTTTACCTACCGAAAGGATAAGAACAGGACTCTCTCTCTGTTGTTGTTGTTTTTTTGGTTTATAGCTGGCGTGTTGAAAAGTAAGAAAGGAGAAACTAAAAACAAGAACTCAACCCACGCAACCAACTGCAAGTCCTGCAGCAATCTTGCCTTGGCAACGCTTGATGAAAGTAATCAAAAACTTCGCTGCTTGTTTGTGCAACTACTGCGGGCTAAATGAAATGGGCGGGGGGAGGGAGGGGGGTGGTTTTTTCGGTGGAACTCTGTTTGTAAACCATAATTGCGCGCAAAAGTAGCTAACAGCTAACAGCAGCTAACAGGCAGGTGAGCAAAAATAACTGTGCTGCCAAAGCTAAAAATTTCATGAGAAAAATTTAATATACACCCCTCCTCTCCCTCTCCCCTTCTAGGAAGAAAGCCATTCCAAAACTCAGAACTCAACTCTCGCACAATAATCACCAAAAAAGAACACATTGCTGTTGGGGGGGGGAAACTAGTGCGAACAGCCAACGGAAAGCTTCTTTAGTTACGCCGCTCACAATTATGAGCAATATTTTTCACGCTTTTCCAACCATTTTTTCCCCCGCTCCATTCAAGTACCACTTCGGAGTTCAACCTATGCGAGAAGCTGGCACCAAATGAGTTTTATTCTCGAGTATGTCATGGAGTAGCGACGGCAAGCCGAAAAAGAAACCCCAGGTGCTCAGCTCCTGCTCCTGCTCCTGCTGGCTGGGTTTTTCTTTGAGCTGAGCATGAAGCCAACCAAAAAGGTGTTGAACTGAACTCAAGCAAAAGTGGAACTTGTCGATAGCAATGGCTAGAATGAAACTTTCCCTTCCTTTCCTTTCTTTTATTTGTCGCTGCAGAGTAACACAAAAAAGAAAAAGAAAACCCATCGCTTGATGATTTGCGAAAAGGTTGTTAGGGCGACCAGGTGAAACTTTGGGGCACTAAAAAAATTGAATGGGACTTAAAAGTTTGAGCAGCACATAGAAGATATTAAAATTTAACTACTAGTTTTTCGCGTCAGCTAACCGAAATTTGGGATTGAAAATTGCTTTTAAATCTCCGCCACGCAACATGACTTTTCGTTTAAGAGGAAAATAAAAAGGGTTTTTCCCCTTGCCATAAACATTTTTTCAATTTACACATAGCTTTTTTCGCTATATTCTCCCTTTTTTTGGCCAGCCACACACCTGTTTTAATTTAATTTGCAGCATATTGAAAACAATTCACCCCCCTGGCTGCCACCCACCACCCACCACCCTCGTAAACCACTTGAAAATGAACAAAAAAAACAACAAAAATCCAATCAAACACGGCGCTGAACAAAACGCTTTCCCACATTCATGGCCCACAAAAAAGTGAGCAGAGCAGAGAAGCGCGCAGACATGAAGTGCATTTCCGCCATCGACGCCACTTGAGAAGAATAAAAACCCGCTGAAATGGCCCGAAAAAATAGGGTTAAGGGACATGATTGGAAAAGCGTTTTGATCTGAACCAATAACACCTGATCCGAGACCTCTTCCTGCTTTGAAAATTTATACACAAGGCTTTAAAATGGTTTCTTTTGGTATTCTAGAAGTCTACGTTTCCACTAAGCCCTAAGGGTTATCTATTCCTAAAACATTTTTGAATATTTTCTGAATTTTAAACCTATCTTTGACATACCAAAATGCAATTTCAAAACCCCCTAAATCCCTGTCAGACAAACTCAATCTCCTTTCACCCTCTAAAAACCAATCAGGCCGCAATTTGAATCGCATTGCATCCCGGAGGTCAAAGGTGGTCACAGGTCAAACTCTTTGATTCATTCCATCCGCTGGTAGTAGTACTCACCCATTAAACACGCCCGTATCGACATAATGCGTGTAGTAGAAAATGCTAACCACCGTAATGGCCAAAAGCGCCAGGACACAACGTCGAACGTTGAAGCCAAAGCAGCGACGTGCAATTAAATTACAACAATGGCACATCCAACCGCCTGGCTCCGAGTGGCCGCCACCGAGTCCGCTGCCTTTCAGGTGAGTTGTTGTTCCACTGCCGCCAATTGACGTTGATGAGGTAGGACTGCTGCTGCTGCTGCTGTTGAAATCCAGGCTGATACTCCCATGCCCATGCCCATGACCATTTCCATTTCCATTCGATTTACCCTTGTACGTGACAATGCCGGCGGTATTGGTGGTGACATCGTCCTCCAATGGCGAAAGCAGCATTGTGCGATCTGTGATGATGGCATGATGGCCATTGCCGAAATGCTTATTGAAATTGTTAAAGTCCTGGACAAAGGCGGCATCATCGGTAGCATCATTCGCATCAGCATCTCGGCCAGAATTCACATCCGTTTGGGTTCCGGTCACGGACGTTCCAAATTGCATCTGCTGCGGCTGCTTAATGAGTTTTTCATATTTGCGATTTGCATTGTTATTATGTTGATTGCCGCCCGATATTGTCATATTGTCGATGCTATCTCTGTGGCTTCCTCCTCGGTGGTACTATCTCTACTATCTCTGCTATTTCTCTCTCTCTCTCTTTCTATATATATATTAATATATATATATATATCTATTTAATTGGCGATATGTCGTATGTTTTTATATATTGACTAAACAGATCGAACATACACTAGCGTTTCACTATGGCACTTCGATTCCCCGTTGCTTGAATGTTTATGTTTTCCAATTGTCCAGTTTATTCTATATATTCTCTATATATATATATATCTTTATGTTATTTCGCATAAATCTCGTTTTTATAATATTCAGTTCGCTTTGTTTACTTTTCATTTCGCCACTTGATATGTTTCCAAATTTTCAAATATTCATTTTGTTTGGCCATTGTGGCCAGCACTGTTGCTGCTGCAATTGTGGTTTTGGCCAGCCCAGACAGCCATTATCAGTCATATAGAGAGGGGCGAGAGACCCAGTTTCCCGCTGTCCAGCTCTTGCAATCAGACATTGACTGTCGTCGTCCCAGTAGTGGGTCGTCTTCTTATCTGCAAACCAAACAAAATACAAAAATATAATAAATAAATAGTTGTCATCGGTCGAGGAGTTTGTTTGCTGAGCTAACAAACAGTGGCTTTCATTTTATTAAAGAGGCATCGAGCTGTTATCAGCTAAGGAAATCTTATAACTTTGTTCAAGCTTTTTAATCTAATCAGGTCAAGAAGTTGTTAACTTTCTTAAGATTAACGTAAACATAAAATATGATTAAACTAAGGTAAAGATAAAGATATTGAAGTGCAGCATTAAAGAAGTAAAGTTTGTAAGTTTTCAGATTACCATAAATACTTTATGATAAGATATTTGAATATTTGTATTTATTAATAAATATAATAGGAATTAGGTTGAGGTGCGACTTTACAACAGGTTGGCAGCTTTTCATTTTCCTTTCGACATCTTCTACTTCCCAGTGCATAGCATTCTCAACGGGCTCTTCGCTACACCTCTCTATTCGATATTAGTAGGGCTGCCAACTGATTTGCATAACGCCACCTCACATCAGTGGTGCCAAATTGTCCTTTTTCCGGACAGATCTGTCCTGTTTTTAACGCTTCATCCGGAAAAAATTTAAAATCCTGAGGCTCACATATGTACGTATGAATATATAAATGAAAGTAACACAGAAATATGAGCTTGTTAGCTTTCCCCTTCTACTTACTTACTACTCCCATTTCAATTTGATTTGTGGCTTTCTTGCTTGCCAGCCCTTTTCAATTATATGTGTCAAATTTTATCGATAATCGTTATCACTGCTAATTGATGGTGGCATTTCGGTGGCACTGCCCTGCCCTGCCACTGGCGCCAAACACACCGCCGCTGCCTTAGTATTACAGTTACACAAAAATGTTGGTTCTTGGCTGTTCACCGTTGGAAACTTGTCAATTTGCTGGCGCGTTCTCCTCAAATGGAATGTAAACAAAATGCTAAGGAAGCCGCAAATAAAGCGACAAATTGCCAAAGCCACAAATACAGTACGGAACATAGATATATCCCTAGATCTACCCTGAATTTGTCCTTGCCAGTGTGTGTGTGTGTGCTTAGCCATTAAGTGCATATGCCTGCCGCAGTTTACAAAGGTCTTAATGGCCCTACAAGAACATATATATATATATATATATATATATACTCGTATAAGGCACTCCCCTAAACTTATTTTGGGGTACAGTTTGCCGTTTAATTGGAAATGGCTGCCGGCTGTCAACCGAAAAATAAAGACAACATTCTTCTGGAAGCCGCTTTATGGCCCCGGCGAAATGAGTCGATAATGAGTTTTAGATGGCCAACAATGTTTGTCATGATGTTATGGCCTCGATAAACATACTCGAACATGTGTTCGCCGATAATACAGCAAATAAATGCTTATTAATGGGAGTTTTAGAGGGTGGCTAAAAAGGAAACTCAGGGAGATTGGAAAAAAGTTAAGAAAAAGCATGACTTGTATGTTTTAGCTATTATTAATTAACTTTAACCTATACTAATCCTTATAAAAATAATAACATTTCTATCACTTTCACATCCCTAAACAAATCCCAACTATTTGTCAAGAATTTAAGCGTGTGAAGTAGTTTTCCCGCCAAGGGAAAGTCAAAACCCTTTCACTTGAAAATACTTTTCAATTTCTACGCTCAACTTCGAACTTCATTTCACTTCATAAGCAAACCGCTTGCCCTCTTCTTACTTGGGCGAGGGCAACACTTAGAGCAATTTATAAACTGGATTCGCTTTGGAAAAAGGGGAAAGGATGCCGCAACAGGAATTACAGCGAAAAGCGAGGGTTTTCCAGCCCAACATTCATCGTTGGCATTCTTTGCCCTTGTTTTTCTCTGCATGTTACAAATTTATCATTAAAATGTCAAAACTTAAATTGATTCAAAAAGTTTAGGAGGAGCAGCAGCAGCAGTGACAATGCTGCCACGCCCCCATTGCCCCCGCTTTTCATTGCTGCTGCTGCTGCTGCTGCAGTAGCAGTAGCAGAAAACTCAAGCAGGAGCCGAAAGAAAAAGTTAAGGCTGTTGTTGGAAAAGCTTTTGCTCTGGGTTTTTCCTTTATTTTTTTTTTTTGATCTGCCTCCCCCTCTGAAGATGCTGCATACTTTAAGGCGCTCTGGCAAAAAACTTTCTGCGCGTTCTTCGTTAGGCAAACTTGTTTAATTTCCTCTTCAATTGCCCGGGAAACCAAGCGAGACAAACCAAAAGTTGTCCTGCCCCCGAAAGTCTATCTCTGCCTTTCATTTCGCTTTTCTTTTCTGGGGTTTTTCTAAAGTTTTTCATTCAATTGTTATTTGTTTGCTGGTGATTTGCTCGCCTCAGCTAGTCTTGAGAAATCTATCTTAGAGATAATCAGAAGGGAAGGAAAAGTATCGGAACTTAGGCAATGTTAAGTAAGATCTTCCCTTAGTTTCTTCTAAGATTTCTTCCTTTTAATCATTTCTGAATAATTCCCATCATAACTCAAACTAATTTCCATCTCGAAGTTGCTGTCACTACCTTAAACCTGACTAATCGCAGATGTTTCTTACAGTTTATCCGAATTAGCCGTGTGAGTTCTGGAAAGTGTTTTATGTTTACTTTGAATTCATTAGAGGAGGGCCTTTGGGGGGGGGGGAAAAAACGATTTAAAGTTTTCACACTTCTTCGTTTTCCCCTCACCCTAGGAAAATGGTTTTAAAAACTATTTATTTTACGATACATTTTGTTTAGATTCCTCGAGGTGAGGCAACGATGCGAGGCTCCCTCCGCATATTTTTCCCTAAATTGCATTGAGGCGTGTGGCAAACAGCAGCAGCAGCAGCAGCAGCAGTGGCATCAACATTGAGTGTAGCACAATGAAGGGCACCCCCGAGATATCCCGACCCCCATTGTTTTGCCCTTTTGCCTGCCTGCCTGCCTTTTGTACTGGCCATTTATCAGTCAGCGAATGTTTGTTGTGGCTTTGTTTTCCCTTTTCCAACTTTTGTAGTATTTTCCTTACAATGTTTTTCTTTTTCCTCTTGTTAGTTTTTCGCGCATTCACCCGCCGCCTGTCAATGCCCAAACATATTGATAATCGTTTTCAATTTGTGCCTGGCAATAACAACAAAAACAAAATCAATTGTCTTTATTAAATTGAATGGGGGTTTTCCACCCAGTCTGAACGAAAATGCTTTTTGGCTTTAAACAAAACAAAAAAAAACTGACAAGACAAGGCTCCATTTTCGGGTTTCTGTTTCTGTCTGGTTAATATTTTGACTGATGAATGTGACTTTTGGGTTTCCATTACACGACGCCATGCCCCATTGCCTTTCCCATAAAGATTTCCCCCCCTTTTTTTTTTTCTTCAACTGCCAAGCCAGATGCGTGGGCTTGGAGTTTCCAACTCCCCCGCACTAACAAAAATAACAAATAAAAATCAGAAGAAAAAGGGGAGAATGGATATCTACACCTAGCTATAAACAAATTTGTATCTTAATGAGTTTTTCACAGTTTAGCGCCTTCGGCTTGGCATTTCCATTGCCTAATGTTCTTTCTATGCTCTGTGTGTGTGTGTGTGTGTGCGTCTCTTCATTATTAATGTTGCTATAAATCAGTTAGGCAAGACAATTAAATTGACACATTCTGTTTATTTGAGGTTTGTTCTTGGATTTCTTGTTTTTGTGCTTTTGTCTAGGCCAACAGATTAATAGTCAGTCTGACTCGGAGTGATTTCGGGGCTTATGAAGTGTCTTTTGTGAGTTAGTGAGCAAGTTCTAATGAAAATTCCATTCACTTGAAGTTCGAAATTAAATGCAGTTATGAGGAAAATTAGAAATTTCAAGGATAAAGATATTTATCATAGAAATTTGACTTTTTTTAGGCAAAAGTTAACTTTCCTTTCGTGGAGTTTTTCCCACACAGCTGGCAGATTAATTTGTTTCTTTGTTTATAACTCAATTTCCCTGATTCCCACAGTTCTCTCTTTCTCTCACTCGGCGAATGTCAAGTGTCAGCGAAGTGTCTCCTAAGTGTTTCTGTTCTTTCCGCCAACCAACCAACTTTTCCCTTCCCCAACTTTTCCCCTTAATTGTACAGCTTTCTGGTTTTCCTTTTATTCTGTCAATTATCCATGTACATTTGCCTAATGGTTTTTATATTTGTTTTTCTTTCACTTTTGGCCTCAAGCTTGCTGCTCCTCCTCTACTGCTCACTCTCTCTCTCTCTCTCCTTAGCTGCAGGCTGACAATTTCCATTTGCCAACGGAAAACTCTCAAGTGGGCATAGAAAATCATAAAACATTCACATTGCTTCCACTTTCATATATGTATTTTCCATATTGGCTAATTAGCAAAACATTTAAATGCACTTTAAACTGGGCAGAAGCAGGGAAACTTCTCTCTTAAGTGACAATTTATTGGATTTTTCCAACAGCCTCAAATCGAAGTTTAGTTTGCCAAAAGGCAAGAAGAGCACAACGAGCCAAGTTCTTCAAGGAGACACTTGCAATATGTTCATTTGTAGATTTTCCTAACTGATTTGGGGGCCTGAAAGTGGGCCAAAACCAGGTGGCCTGTCAGACAGACAGACAGGCAGTCTGACAGACTGACTACTGACCTAGTTTTTCTCTCTAAAAATACTCAGGCACCAATAAAATGCCAGTCTAAAGTGTATTTTACATCACTTTGATTTTTTTATTCGCTAAACGCAGAGGGGGAGTTGCAGAAGGAGAGGGAGGGGGGGCTGATTCCAATCCGAGGATTTTTCAAGTGCTCAACACTTG